AATTAAGGGTCAGCCTTTTAGAACAGAGTTGAGGAAACATTTCTTCACTCAGGGGATAGTGAATTTATGGAATTCACCATCCCAGAAGGCTGTAGATGCTCAGTCCCTGAACATATTCAAGGCTGAGATTGAGAGATTTTTAAAAAAAACAGAGAGATTAGGGGATATGGGGATAGGGCAGGTAATTAGAGTTAGGTCAGAAGATCAGCCATGATCTTATTGAATGGCGGGGCAGGCTCGAGGGGCCGAATGGCCTACTCCTGCTCCTAATTCTTATGTTCTTACAGTCAAGTGCATTGTAATAATGTTTTTTAAAAAACAACGTGACTCGACTATAACAAAAACCTTGCAAGCTTTAAAGATGTGTCAAAATTTCCGTGGCATTTTGTTTTCTTACATATTTCAAAATCTCAATATAGGCAGAAGGTATTGGGCTCTAAGGTCACAAGAGTAATAAAGCCACTCATATTCACAATTATAATAGTTCTGTAGTTTGACTGTTATTTGGGAGTTTGTTGGATTGCAGTAAACAGGGATGGCAAAAGAACAACAACAAAATTACATTTGTATAGCGCCTTTCATGTTGGGTTGACGTCCCAACCAACGTATGTCCTTTAATCTTAAAATGTGAACAGTGGAATTGTTTCACAAGTTTGTAGTGTCAAAAGCAGTGTTTAATCTCCAACTTTCCATTGTGTTGTGAACTCACTCCTATTGTTAGAGTTATGTTTGTTGCTGCTCAGATTGGCAGTCACAGTACAAAGACTGCAAAGGCCCCGATAGCCATGTGCACAGGGCCTGATAGCCGACCACACCCGACTACATGTATTCAACATTTCCCTAATAGCACAAAGGAATCTATATCTATATATATATATATGAACAGAGGGACTGAACCACTCAATCAGCTGAACTGGACAATAAATTATATTTTAGTTTCTGTTCTACTATGATAGTAGATATCTCATGGATATTGCCTCTCCTCTCATCCCTGTCCCTCTGCACAAAATATCTGCTCATATTGGGCGATTTCAACCTCCATCTCAATTCCTTGTATCCTATCTCCTCTGACTTTGCCGCCTTCCACTCTACCCTAAACCTCACAAAACCGGCCTCACGAAGCACCGCTAACTGTGGTTCATACCTACCACTGCTCCCTCTCGCAAGCTAAAACCACCTTCTATGTCCATATAGTATTTTTTTCCCCTTTACATCACGATTGGTGGAATTTGAGAAATCCTACCTCCTTCTGTTCATCAAGTGATTATTTCAGTCTGAAATGAGCTTTTCCTTCTGACCTATAATTTCCATCAGTGTTCATTGACCAAGTACAGAAAAGAGGAAATGGAATAGATTTGTGGAGTCTTGTTGCTTGAGTGAAAAAATGCTTAAGTTCAGTAGGATTCATAAAAATCACACCAGTAAAATGCTTCTCAGGATGCTACTTTAAAGTGTAGTGACTGTATATTTCTAGACGAACTTGGTAACCTATTTGCGCAGACCAATGTCCAACAAACAACCATGAACTGAATGACCAATTGGATCTGGGGATTGTTGGCCAGGATGCCGGGAGAAATTCTTTCTATTGAACTAGTGTTAGACAACCTTTAATATCTACCTGAACAGAAAGATAAGACAGTTTCAATTTAACCTATCATTAGAAGAACAAAACTCCACAAAACAGCGCATCCCAGCACTGTACTGGAAGGTACGCCTAGACTGTAAGATCAAAGGCCTGAAATAGAGCTCAAACCCAGAACCTTCTGACTCAGAGATGAGAGTTCTACCAACCAACCAGCAACACTTTTGAGAACAGCACCAAGTTGCATTTATATAGCACCTTTCATGTCGGGAGGATGTCCCAAGGTGCTGGACAATGAGGCGTTTGCACTCGAGCTGCGGGTTGGGATCAGTGAGGGGTGGTGGGCAAGGAGATGGAGGAGGGAAGATGACCGAAGGTATGGTGGAAAGGATGGACCTTGAAGGAGGCAAGGGAGGGGGCAAGGCAGAGGGGCTATGGAGTGGAGCTCCAGAGGGTGGGGGCAGAAAGGCTGAAGACTTAACCGCCTTTAAGGCAGCAGGGTGGAGGATGTGGAGCAGGCTATTGCCTGTAGAGCAGAGACAGCGGACCGGTTGGTGACGTTTTAATTGTTCGCAAAGGTAGGGAGGAGCAAGGGCTTGGAGGGCTTTAAATGTGAGGACAAGGATCTTGAACTCTATCTTCTGGAACATGGGAACCCCGTGAATCAGGGCAAGGATAGGGGTGATCCGTTCACAAAGTTTAGTGTGGGTCAGGACACAAGCCATGAAGGTGGAGCTGAGAGGAGAGGCAGTAGAGAAGAATAGAGTGACCCACAGTGTTGAAGGCAATAGAGAGATCGAGAAGCATGAGCAGACAGAGAGAGCCCTGGTCACAAATGAACAGAATGACATTTGTAACTTTGACGAAGGCTGACACCTCCTAGTGCATAAGAATAATCTTATTCTTGTGAGATTGACTGGAAATAATTTTGCCTTAAGGAAGTTCCTGTCATTTTGGAACTGTCATCGTGTCTTTTTTCCAAATACCTTTCTCAGTCTCATTCAAAACCTTTTTTAGTAAACTTGAACTATTTATAGATGAAAACTATTGTGGAGCATATATACCTGAAGGTGGTTTCAGTGTTGCCTGTGTGATCCACTTGTTTCACCTCTAAGCACAACTCCATTCTGCTAGCATGATCTTTGAGGTGCAGTGTTGAATGAAGTGGGCGAGACAGCTTTGTGTAACATGCGTTTATTGGAATAGCTTTCTGATTGTGTTTCAACCTTGCATTTGCATCAACCTTTAACTCGTGTTACTTGGGCACGAGAGTCTTGTTTGTCCTCTGCTAAGACCAAACTTTGTGGTGGTTTGTTTCCCATGTTTAATTTTACTACTACAAACGAATCATTATGGAACTCTTCCCCCTTGTTGTGTAAGAAGCGATCTTACTACACTGACTGCTTAAGCCTTCAGATCATGTCAGTAATTATCTGGCACTTTAGAGGCAACATTCTACTTAAGTAATGTTACACTTTAACATAGATAAAGATATTTTGTTGCACCACTTTGGGTTTGATTCTGCTTACATTTCAATTCGGTCAATTAGGGCTAGTCTGTAGTATCACAGTAATTACAGAAACTTAAGTGTAATTAGTAAATAGTTGGGAAAGTACTAATTTCAGTACTGTGACATCAAAAATATGCTGTAAATACTACAGTTGGTGCTAAACTGGAAATAAAATGCCATTTGACTAATTTCATTGGTATGTTTTTGTTTCTTTTCACTGACCTTCTCCAAGTATTTTCTTCTTTTCCACCTAATTCAATTACAACAAAGAAATGTTAACCCTCCAACATCCACTTCCATTTCTACAAAAGAATAAAGAAGTAATAAAATGTTAAAAATAGTCCTTGCATTTTACATCAGGAGATGTCTCAAAGTGCTTCACTGGTTTTACTGTAAAATGGAATAACTGTACTCTGTCGGAGAACATGGAAGGCAATTTGCCCACGTTAAGATCCGACAAACAACCATAAATGAACAACCAATTTTATTTGGAGGATCATTGGCCAGAAACTCCCTTCTCTTCTCAAGTAATGCCATAGGATCTTTAACGTCCACATGAACACGCAAGTGGGACCATGGTTTAATATTCTCTAACAATGCAGAATACCCCCAGTACTGTATTGGAGTGTCAACCTAAACTATATGAACAGCCTAAACTCATATAAACTATATGAGCTCAAAGGCCCAGCATGTAACTTGAACCCACAACTTTATGAGTTAGAGGCAAGAGTGCTACCAACTGAGTCAGCATCGGCAACCAAGGCTGCACTCTCCACCTCTCAAAGCCAGTCAGGAACCTCGGCGTTCTGTTCGACTGGCACCTCCTTCCATCACCTCCGAAACATCGCCAGACTACTGCACTACCTCACCCCTCACGCCTCTGAAACTCTGGTCCACGCCTTTATCACCTCAAGGCTGGACTATGGGAACTCTCTCCTCGTCGGCCTTCCCGGCACCTCCCTCCACAAGCTGCAGGTCATTCAGAACTCTGCAGCTCGTGTACTGTCCCGCACCAGGCTTCGCGACCACATCACTCCCACCCTCGCTCGCCTCCCCTGGCTCCCCATCCCCCAGAGGATCGAATTCAAAATCCTCATCCTCACCTACAAGGCCATTCACGGCCTTGCTCCCTCCCACCTCTCCGACCTACTATCCCCCTATCTACCTGCCCGTACCCTCTGTTCCTCTGGCTCCAGTCTGCTCCACATCCCCCACCCCAACCGCCCTACCATCGGTGGCCGGGCCTTCAGCCTCTTAGCCCCTAGGCTCTGGAACTCCATCCCCCAGTGCCTTCGCATTGCTTCCTCCCTTTCCTCCTTCAAGGCCGGTCTCAAGACCTTTCTCTTTGATCGTGCCTTCAGCTCCCCTCTCGACTCTCTACCCACTCCTCGCCCCCTCCCTTCCCTCCCCTCACCCTGACCATTTCCCCCCTGCTCGGGTCCTGACCCAACTGTCCAGCGCCTTGGGACGTTCTCCCGACATGAAAGGCGCTCTATAAATGGAATCTTGTTGTTGTTGTTGTTGAGTCAGGCTGACACATAAAAAATAATCCTTGTATTAGATATAGCATCTTTCATGTTGACAGAATGTTTCAAAGAGCGTCACAGGATATATTGTAAAGTATAATGACTGAGTATGACTTGTTAACTTGATCATAGTATTGGCTCTTTTGTCATAGCTCTATCATCGCTTTGTGAACAAGATTTTTCGTAGTTATAGAAAGTTGTGATCAGTTGTGTCTAAGCTTGTAAGTCAATAAACACAAATTTAAATAGGACCCAGTGACTAGTTGGTAGCTCTTTGAAAGAGTTGGCACAGGCACGATGTGCCGAATGGCCTCCTGTGCTGTAAGATTCTATGATTTGCATTTTACTGTGCTGATACAAAAATGCCATTTTTTTTATACAGATTTTTCCATATGTCCTTCTGCTTGTGGCGATCCTCATGTATATTCCAGCCTTGTTCTGGCGTTTTACAGCAGCACCTCAGCTCTACGGTGATCTGACTTTTATAATCGAGCAACTTGATAAGGCCTACAACCGGGGAATCAGACTAGCACAGCACATTGTCAGTACCAGTGGCTATGATGCTAACAGCTGCTTCCGAACTGGTGGTGAACAAAGCAGGTATGTAGATAAACAGAGCACTGATAGTATTTGTATATCCTGTAAGTTATAAATCCTTGCAGTTATGCAATGCATTTATCACTTCCAGGCGTGACTACCCTGACCATGCTGCCGATTATTCAGAACTCTGTTGTCTGTGTCCTCTCCCACACTAGGAGAGCCTATCACCTCCATCCGTTCTTGGTTCTATGGGCTCTCCATCCCCCAACAAACTAACTTCAAGATCCTCGTTGTCACCTTTAAATCCCTCCATGGCCATGCCTCAGCCTACCTCTCTGATCTACTTGAACCTTACTGACCCAGCCACACTACCCCGTTGTAGCTTCATGTACCCCTCTGCAACATTGGTGGTCAGGTTTTGACTTTCTGCCCCTGCTCTCTTGAACTCAATCCCAGAATCCCTCCAACTCACTCCTTTCCCTCCCCTCTTTCAAGGCACATCTCAAAACCTACCTCTTTGACTGCGTTTTCAGTTATCTTTCCCTTCCATACTCCCTCAGCTCCCACCCCAGGAGCTGGACGGGAAGACTGCCTGCCAAGATATCAGCAGCAGACCCCGGCACAGGAACCAGACAACCAGGACTCAGACATTCTCCCAAATGAAAAGCGCTATACAAATGTAATTTTGTTGTTCCCACAGAGGATTGACTCATTTCCAGCATTTCATTGCCAAGCATGTCACCTTGTATCCAGTTTAGCTCCACCTTGTACCCTGCTTACCTCCTTCCCCTAACACCACCCACCCCTACGGTCTCCCAAGGAGGATAGTCATTAATTGCTCATTTGAAATCAAGTACAGATTTGAGTTCTCATGAGGTGGGTGGCTGATTCATGTTATAGTACCAGTTTCCTGTCACTAGAGGCCAGCAAAGAGGTACATGAAAGGTAGGATAAACATATACTCTAGTGGTAAAGAATACTGAAATATTTCAGCTTACTCTCCCACCAGGTCACAAGTACTGTTACAAGTTTTCTATCATAATAAATAGCGTAGGAAAATCCAGGACCGGAAATGACTTTTGCGGTCTATGTGCCTAAAATAACAGTCTATGTGTCATTGCCTAAATTATTTTTTCATTGTTAGGTTACCCAATGCTTCCATTGCCTTCCTGGGTGTTACACTCCATATATGCACCACTCCCTGTGTAAGGTACTTAATTTGTTCACCTTTCCTCTTTTGGGTTGAAATCCTTATCCCCTTTTGGTAGAATAATGTTAAACGTATTATTAGTTTCAATTTATTTATGTTTTTTTGATCTGGAATAAGTTCTCCTTTGCACCTTTTTGACCAGGTAAATATTTACCGATTCTGTAATCTCCCTGCTGGACTATCCTTTAAATGAAATAAGAAGATAATTTGGTGTATTCTGTATGGGAGAGCAAGCAGCAGGACAAGAAGGGCCACAGCCTCTTTTGGGCTGTAAACTATCTCAGATTCTGCGTTAAATTCACATCCCTTTTACCCTTTATTTGCTCATTTTAAAAGAAAAGCACAGGGAAATTACTGAAGAATTAAATCTTTTTCTCACGGTACTTCCAAGTCATTTCTTTAATGAAAGACTGAATTGTTTACAGCTTGTGCCTTGATTTGGACTTGGCTATCTGCTGAATGTGTTTACAGTAAGATGAAGGTCAACAAACTAGTCAGAGGTTTAACTTGCATTCAGATGTCCAACCACAATGGGCAATCTGTTTTGTGAATTGCTCATTTTATTATGAGTTAATAGTGACTGGACATCTAAGAGAGCAGGGTAGGAGTCATAAACTTAGAACAAGTTAGAAAAATTTGTTCAGAAAATTATAAACTGATGTCCACGCTGAAATATACTTATGTATTTGAATTTTTCCACTCTTGCCCCAAGAGGACTGCTGAAAGCATTTATCCTTCTTTCCCTCAACTGAAATTGCATTAAGTTGGCAATATTTGTCCTCCAGTACTTTTCCAAGTGACAATGATATATGTGTGAGCTATGACTCTTGAGCACAGGCAGTGAATTCAACCATAGGGACATGACCTACACACATTACCTTCTGACAGAAGCCTCTGGATAGTGATTAGGAGCAGGAACTCTGCCTAATTTCCCAATCAAGGAGCGCAGAGGCCAATCGAGGCATCTTGGCAGTGATCAACTAAATCAACATAAATCAGAATTAAAACTAAAACCTTCTGAATTGCATGATGTAGCTGAGTGGAGTGGGATGAGAAGAACAGTGGGGTAGAGGAAAATCACAGAGGTGCTAGGGTATGAAGCCATTTATAACTGAATACTGAAGGTCAGGACCATGAAGTTGATCTGTTGGGTGACAGGGAGGCTGTGGAGCTTGGCAAGGACTAGGGTGATGAACATGTGGAGTTTGGTGCACTTTTGAGTTTTATATCAACTGACTTTATGGGTTATGGAACTGGCGAGACCAGAGAGAATTGCATTTAAAGAGTCAACAACAATAACAGCTTGGATTTATATAGCGCCCTCCACACCGGAAGGCATCTCAGAGCGCTTCACAGTAACAGATCCCGGGGCTGAGCCAGGGGGAGGGGGAGGAAGGTGACCAAAGGGGCGGCTGAAAAGAAAGGTCTTCAGCCGAGACCTGAAAGTAGGAAGAGAGGGGATGAGGCGAAGGGAATGAGGAAGTAAGTTCCAAAGCCTCAGCGTGTAGTGGCTGAAGGTACAGCCTTCGGTGGTGGAGCGGAGGACTCGGGGGACAAGGAGGAGACCAGTCCCGGTGGAGTCAAGATGTAAAAAAGAGGCATGAATAGGGATTTTACTATTAATATGTACGTTTTACAATCGGCTATTCTTCAAACTCCAGTTTTAGTTTTGTTACGTATTCTTATAACGCTGTTATAAGGCAAATGCCATGTGGACCCGCTGTTGGTGTCAGCACATGGCCTGACTGGCTTCCTGGAAGCTAAAAATGGCCACTTGCTGTATTGTCAGGTCACTTCTAAAGTCGTTTCCTGCACACTGCACATGTGCAGGAAGCTTCTTGTGCATGTATATCGCACAGTAAATGATTGTGGCGACCCGATAACCCATTACAGCCATTTGTTAGTGCGAGAAGCTCCTGTGGACGAGGCATGCAAGAAGTGACATCATCAGCAACCAGGTCACCTAGAATTCTGAATAGAAAAGAACACTTCACTTTTTAACACAGCTGTCTTTTTCATTTAGCTCTAGAGAGAAGAAAGAGAATTTCTTTCAATTTCCAGTTGTGGAGCGTTATTTAAAATCAAAAGAAGACTCCTGCAGCTTGTTGATTGTGTACTTGACCCGCAAAGCAATGGTTCTCATCTTCCTGATACTAGCCTGCAGCTACCTGGGTTATTACATCTCTCTGACGTACCATACTGATGAGTTCAAATGCTCTATTAGAACAGGCATTTTGGGAAATGAAACCGGCATTCCAGAGTTTTTCCAGTGCAAACTTATTTCTGTTGGAATTTTTCAACTGCTGAGCATCATCAACTTTATCGTGTATATCCTACTCGTACCAGTCACAGTGTACAGCATGCTCTTTCCGTTAAGAAGGAACCCCACTTTTCTTCAGGTGTATAATCTCCTGCCACAGTTTGAAGTGATGAAGGTGTCCAAAGGATCGTGGAATGACTTGACTCTGTACCTTCGATTTTTGGAAGAGAATGTCAGTGAAATAAAATCACATAAATGCCTCAAAGTATTGGAACACGTAAAAGACATGGGAATTGCTGAAGCAATGGATGTATTGTTGCCTCTAATTGCCCTTGGACAAGTCAAATCAGATGTGGTCGATGGTTTGAATAAAGCTAAGAAAGCAGAGCAGAAGTCAGAGACAGACCTAGATATGAATGCAGCCCAAATGAAAGGTAAGACTTTTTGTATAAACCTGAAATAAATCTCCTTTTAATTTCCTACAGCGAGTAATTACCTCTCTAGCTGTGAAAAAGGACAGGAGCAGATTTCTCCTTATTCTCTCGTGGATTGACTGCCTTGCTGTTTTGTTGATAGCAGGAGGATCAACATTTTAGTGATGCAAGGTTGCATAGCCAATATCTATTACAATGAATGACAGATTTTGATGTACATTTTACAATAGACTTGAGTAACTTAGATTTTAGAATGTCAAAGTCGTTTCTTAGACTGCAACTTACTTATATTTGTACTTATACTTACGTATATGTATTTATAGATGTATAAATATTTATATAAGATTTGCTTCAAAGCCAGTCCAATTGACTTCCATTTTCAACCAGTGTACAACTTCTCGGACTTGGGTACTAATAATTGATAGCTGTCGCTTATTTCCTTTGAAGGCATTTCCTAATTTTAGTAACAAATGATTCTAGTCACCAAGGGATGCAAGGCCTAATCTGAACTACTCTATGGACAGTGTGATCACTTGTTTCAACATGATATAAAATTGTGAAGCAGGTCTGACTGCTCTGATAGAATAATAATAGTAATAATCCTTGCATTTGATATAGCGCTTTTCCCATCTTCTAGACGTCTCAAAGCGCTTCACAGAATAGGCTGTAAAGTGAATTGACCGTACATTTGTGGGCGAAACGCAGCAGCCAATTGCGCACCGCAGTATCCCACAAACAGTCATCGATTGAAAATGACCAATTTATTATTATTTTGTTTTGGAGGGATTATTAGGCTTGTAGAGTAAGGAAACTTGCCCAAGGTTTCGCCCTGCCTGGATTTGAACCCAGGTGTCTCGCTTGCAAAGCGAGTGCTCTAACCACTGAGCTACAGGACTCCACAATCCAGTGCAGTGGAGTCCTATAGTTCAGTGGTTAGAGCACTTGCTTTGCAAGCAAGAGACCTGGTTTTGATTCCCGACAGGGTGAAACCTTACTCCACACGCCTGATAATAATCCCTCAAGAAAGAAAACCAATAATACATTGGTCATTTAAATCCACGAGTGTTTGTGGGACACTGCTGTGCGCAAATGGTTGCCGCATTTCACCCACAAATATACAGTTAATTCACTTTACAGTCTATTCTGTGAAGCGCTTTGAGACGTCTAGAAGATGTGAAAAGCGCTATGTTAAATGCAACGGTTATTATTATCAGTCAGAATTCTATATTTTTTACCTTTCCATCGAGAATGTTATGAAAATGCAATCACAAGATATAAATTAACACACTCCGATGGGTCTCTTTCTTTCTGAAAATCCATTGGTGTCATCAACAGTCAACAAGTGACCTGTATGCTATTTTATTATTTACTTATACTTGATGGCTTTATGTTTGTGGTGATGGGTTGAACCAGAGTCTATATGTCCTACATGAGGACCTATTGCCATTGTAGCATCACCTGACCATGTCACCAGAGCGAGAGCTATGCCACACTGTGACCAACTTAATTCTTATCTCTACCATGTCGCTCTTCAAGAATTTCCACTTACATTCCTTCATACAAATGGGTTGCTTTGGAAACATTGAATATTTTTGTAATGAAAAACAATAACACATTTCCACATCTCAAAACCAAGCACAATTTAAATTTGGTTGTCCGAAATTGTCATCGGCAATAAATATAATTTTTTTTAAATTGTAGTTGTTTTTCTACTTGGGATTTTTATTCCCCTTTAATAACCAATGAATAGTTCAGACTAGAAACAATAATCATGTATATTATTCACTCACAGAAGTAAAACTAGTTTATGGAGGCCGATAAAGAAGAATCACTTTGGAGGGAGTATATTTTATTCAAGATGCTTCTACAAGAAACAGCGATAAATAAGTTACACTTCAATTTTTTTCCTATATTTTTGCTTTAATATAACAACAACAGCTTGGATTTATATAGCGCCCTCCACGCTGGACGGCGACTCAGAGCGCTTTACAGTTTCAGATCCCAGGACCGAGCCAGGGGGAGGGTGGGGGGAAGGTGACCAAAGACGCGGTCGAAAAGAAAGGGAGGGAGCGAGACAAAGGGAGTGAGGAAGGCAGTTCCAGAGCCCTGGGGCATAGTGGCTGAAGGCACAACCACCGAGGGTGGAGCGGAGGACTCGGGGGACAAGAAGGAGGCCAGACCTGGAGGAACGAAGGCAACAGGTGCTGTTTTGAGGAGAGAGGAGGTCAGAGAGGTCGGGGGGTGCAGAGGAGTGCAGGGACTTGAATACGAGGAGGATCTTGAAATCAATCCTCTCTGGGACAGGCAGCCAGTGCAGTCTGGCAAGGACTGGGGTGATTGGGGAGCGGAGTTTCGTGTGGGTGAGAATGCGGGCGGCAGAGTTCTGAATGAGTTGGATTTTATGGATGGTGGTGGATGGGAGACCGGCGAGAAGGGCGTTGGAGTAGTCCAGCTGAGAGGTGACAAAGGCATGGACCAGAGTTTCAGCAGCTTTTGGGGAGAAGTATTGGCGGAGACGGGAGATGCGACGGAGGTGGAAAAAGGCGGTGCTGGTAAGGGACCGGATGTGGGGGAGGAAGGACAATTACTATACTAATACAGTACATAGTACCCACTACTTTCTTCACTAGTATATATCCTAACTAATAGTCCTCTGAATATTCAACATTCATCTCATGTTGCTTCCTCATGGTGACATCATCCACAGACATGGGATTAACTTCCACATATATGTGGATGACACCCAACACTACCTCTCTGCCTCCACCCTTGACTCCAAGACCACTGCTGTCCTGACTGAATGTCTGTTGTGGATGAGAGCTAACTTTCTTCAGTGGAACATCAACCAGGAATGGGGAAGCTTAACTATGAGGACATGCTGGAAAAGTTAGGACTTTTCCCATTAGAGCAGAGAAGGTTACGCGGGGACCTGATAAACGTCTTCAAGATCATGAAAGGTTTCGACAGGCTAGATAAGGAAAAGCTGTTTCCACTGGTAGGTGTGTCTGTGACTCGTGGTCACAGTCTTAAGATATCTACCAAAAGAAGCAGAGGGGAGGTTAGAAGAAATGTTTTCACTCAGCGAGTTGTTGGAATTTGGAATGATCTGCCTGAAAGGGTAGTGAAGTCCGATTTGATAACAGCTTTTAAGAGAGAACTGGATAGATATCTGGGGAAGACAGGTTTGCAGGGTTATGGGGAGAAAGCTGGTGAGTGGGGTTAATAAAAGTCAGTTGCTCTGTCAAAGAGCCGGCACAGACTCGATGGGCCGAATGGCCTCCTTCTGTGCGGTAACAGTCTACCTCATCCTCACCTACAAGACCATTCACGGCCTTGCTCCCTCATACCTCTCTGACCTACTATCCCCCTACCTACCTGCCCGTACCCTCCGTTCCTCCGGCTCCGGTCTGCTCCACATCCCACGCCCCAACCGCCCTACCATCGGTGGCCGGGCCTTCAGCCTCTCAGCCCCGAGGCTCTGGAACTCTATCCCCCAGTGCCTTCGCCGCTTCCTCCCTTTCCTCCTTCAAGGCCAGTCTTAAGACCTTTCTCTTTGACCGTGCCTTCAGCTCCCCTCTCGACTCTCTACCCCCTCCTCGCTCTCTCCCTTCCCTCCCCTCACCCTGACCATTTCCCCCCTGCTCCGGTCCTGACCCAACTGTACAGCGCCTTGGGACGTCCTCCCGACGTGAAAGGCGCTCTATAAATGGAATCTTATTGTTGTATGAACAAGACCGAGGCTCTCCTGATTGGCTCCCGTCAGCGTCGCCTCACCTCAGGCACTGACAGCATCGCCATCCATGGTTGCACACTCCATCTTACTAAGCCAGTCTGGAACCTTGGGGTCTTGTTTGACCCTCAACTATCCTTCCTACCCCACATCTGCGCCATGACCGTTCTGCCTTCTCCCACCTCTGCAACGTTGCTCGGCTCCGACACTGTCTCACACCACAGGCCGTCGAAACCTTCATACACACCTTCATTACATTGAGGCTCGACTATGCAAACTCATTGCTTGTCTGCCTCTCCAACTCCTCCCTCCACAGGCTGCAGATCATCCAGACCGTTGCAGCCCGTGTCCTCTCCCGCACCAGGCTCTGCGACACTATCACCCCCCATTCTTGCCCAACTCCACTGGCTTCCGCTCACACAGAGGATACAGTTCAAGATCCTGGTCCTCACCTTCAAAGCCCTCCACAGTCTCCGACCTCCTAACCCCCTACCACCCTGTTCACTCCCTCTGCTCAGAGGGCTTCAGCCTGTTTCACATCCCCCGCCTCGCTCACTCCACGATTGGCGGGCGGTCCTTCTGCCACTCTGCCTCCACTCTCTGGAGCTCCATCCCGCAGTCCCTCCAACTCACCCCCTCCCTTGCTACCTTCAAGACCCATCTCAAGACCTTCCTCTTCAACCGTGCTTTTGATCTCTCTGCTTCTCCTTGCCCTCTACCCTCCCTAACCCCAATCCCCATCTCGGATCCGTACCTCTGTCTGTCCAGCGCCTTGAGAAGTCCTCCCAATGTGAAAAGCGCTATACAAATGTAATTTTTGTTGTTGTTGTTTGTTTGTGGAACTTTGATGTATAGAAAATGGCTCCCGTATTTGCCTACAAAAAACAGTCTTTTCACTTGACAATAATTTCTGCAGAGTGCTTTTGAAGTACTTAAAATACAAGTTCTGTCTTCCTTATTTACAGGAAGGAGTCTGACTGGCTTTGTGTTTTTGTGCTATGCCCAAATTGGCTGCCACATTCACCTACAACTATACAGTAATTACATTTTATAGAAACTCTGTGGAGCTCTCTGAGACGTCTTGATGTTTTAGGCACTGCATCAAGTGCAAGGATTATTATTAAATAAAAATACAAATTAAAAGACAAAAATTTACGGTGTATTTTCAGGCCTATTCCGTTCTCCATCTTTGACTTAAGAATAATACACTGTTTATACACTGTACTATCTAGTTTTAGATTCAACGCCTGGCATAGATAAATGCTTGAAG